GGTATAAATATAAGATTTAGGGTAATAATATAAAGTGAGATAATTATACGATTGGATAAAAATAATGATAATCAGATGATAAATTATAAAAATTAGAAAAAGGGAATTTCGCATAATCAAAGAAAGATTATCGAATTAAAGAAATTTATGTTACTATGGTAACAATAACCCACCTTGATTATTCTCAAAGTATATTACATGTATGTCATCAAAAATCAAGTATTTGTTTGGCTAAATGCTGAAAAAATTTTAGATCAACAAATCTATCATTAATTGTAACAGCTGAAGCTGAAATCAGCGCATCCTATTGGCTGATCAATTTCTATTCTCTAATTTCATTGGTCAATTTCAGCATCAGCCGCAACGTTAATTTTTGGTTGAAGATCAATAAATTTCTTAAATTATGCTTAATTTTGGTCAAGATTATAAAAAGATTAACAAAATTATAGTGTTGATTATTCGAATTATGAACATTAATAAACTAACAAAAATAGATAATTTTAAACCTTAATAATTCTAATAAAAATTATGCATACAAATATTAAGCTGTAAAAGTTATAAAGCTAACCTAATATATCATTTTTACGGTTTAGTTTGTTAAAATTATCAAATTTGCAAGACTATATAGACTTCAAAGTTACGATAAATTGTTTGATGAGTATAGATGTTACCATGACGAAGCAAATGAGTATTTTTTTGTTCCCAAAAAATAAATTTTTTACATTTAATTTTCGCATTTTTCGGCTTTTAATTAGAATATATGCGCGTTTATGATTCTCACAAGCTATTTTCTTCAATAGAAGACATTGATTTCTCTTTATAGATTTCGCTACTTTAAATTGCATTTTTTAGCCCAATGTGCAACTTTATTTACCGTTTTCTTTATCCATACAATAATTTTCGAAAGACCTTTGTAGATAAATATTAATTTCTAAATTCATGAAATTAACTTCTATAGAAACACAAAATTTTCAACATATAAAAATAATGTTTCTTTTCTCTTGACAGAATCACAAGTTTACTTTTGGAAGTTTTCTCAAAATTAACACTGACTGCGATGCTGATTTACGATTTAATTAAACCCCACAGCAATACTGTGAAAATATTTGCTAAATTATATAACATGTGCTATAAACATAATCGCAATCCTAGCCGAACAAAACAAATACAAGCTCTGCTTGCAAGAAATAATATATTATTATGTTTATTATTACATGTATTTGGCTGTAAAACATTTGTTAGCATTGGACTCAAAAAAATATCTTTAATTTAAATAACTTTTATTTCACAATCTTTGCGAATGAATCTTTGAATGATTATTATATTAAGCGATTAGAACAGATTGATGATTAATGGATGTCTGTTTTATTGTCTAGCTTTATTTGACTATTAAAAAGAAAAAATCTAACGAAGTAAATGAAGTAGCGAAATGGCAAAGTAGCGAAGTAACGAAGTAAACGAAGTATCAAAGTAAACGAAGTATCAAAGTATCGGATTGATAAAGAATAAAAGAAAGAACGAACGAGCTAACGGATCGTCTAACAAAAATTAAATAAAGGAGACGTTATCATATAAGAAATTGTCAAAAGTGACATGAATCATAAATAATTGAGTGATTTCGATTCCGTTAAAGGTGAAGATTTCAGTGGTAGTGTCATTGGATATTAGTTATGAATTGCGGCGATGAAGTAATTGAACCATTATCATCTTTATCGTTATAGTTGTTGTCAGCGAAGAAAAAATCTTCTCAAATAAAATAGGAAATTGATTGTCGTTATCGATCGAATTTTGAGTTAAATCATTAGTGATGTCTTATTGATTATAGGTGGCTGTCGTATAGTCTTGTTGATTATAGATGACTGTCGTGTAGTCTTGTTGATAATAAATGGTTGTTGTAAAGTTATTAATATAGTCTTGATGATTATAGATGGCTGTCGTATAGTCTTGACTATTATAAATGGCGACCCGTCGATTTGTATTAGTTCTTGAAGTAAATTGGAAGTCAGAGATGGCGGCCCGTTGATTTGCGTTAGTTCTTGAGGTGAATCGGAAGTTAAAGATGGCGACTCATCGATTTGCATTGGACCTTGAGGTGAATTGGAAGCTATTGTACTAAACGTATCTGGCGAAATAGATATATATTTTCTTTGTTCTCGAAAAATAAATTCTTTATGGCTTAGATTTTTACATGTTTTGGCTTGTATTTATAATTGGGATATGTACGCTTATGATTCTCGCAACCTATTTTCTCCAATATTTTGAAGAAATGCTTGAATTATTTCGCCACTTTAAACTGTATTCCTTTGCTGTTTCTTTAACTTTTGATTTGACATTTTGATTACATAAACGTAAATGTGCTTCATAATCTCGTCGGAAAATTACCCAGCTATTTTGTGGCCGTGGTGGATTAAGGCGATTTTTTACGGCTGATTTGGTTAATTCGTCAATCGAAAGAGTTACGTAGTTGGTAAGGGCATTTTTGTAACATCTGTCTTTCATTATCAGTTAGATATTTGTAATAAGTGTTAAGTTTAGTCATTTTAAATAATTGATTTTGACATAAGTGCAAATTGGATAAAAAAACTCTGAAAAAGGCATTGGAATCGCACTCGCCTAAAGCCACACTCTTTTTATAGTACCAGTTCTAATAAAAGAGTGTATCCTTGGAGTGAAACCCGATGCGTAAAATTGATGGTCAATTTCTTGACCATTTCTTGTCTTGCATTGCATGTGCATATACATTCTTTGGACAGATTTCTGGAAGAAAATCCCATTTAGAATATCCCCCTATAATATCATACCTCCATGAATTGTGCCCGGTCCGATCCATAGTTTACAAAGTGAGTAGAATATAACATACACCCTTGTAATTCTGGTCAAATATAGGCTAATTCTGGCTGAAACTATCGTTTATATATAGAATATCCTCTATATAATATACCCTCTTGCCATACAGTGTACTCCCCCGGGTACAAATCGGATTTTAGCTGGTGGAATGTAACATACCCGGTACATCTATGTAGCCCCACCCAATTAGATAATAACAAAAATAACCAATAGTATTGTGTATTTTCGAAAAATTCTACTGTAATAAAGATTAATGTTAAAGAATGGTTTTAAGATTAGGCTATGGTAGGGATGGTGATCCAGATTTATATAAAAGCATTTTTTCCTGTATTTTTTACATTTCTCGCATTTTTTTATTTTTTTGTGTTGATCAAAATTTAGATTCTTATTGGCTGTTTTTTATCATAACCACTCCCAGCCTCTTTGAACTACAACTTTAGTTAAGTGCGCAAAATTCGAAGCTAAAACGAACTCAGTTAAATCGGATTCTCGATTCGCTTAGATATGTAGTTTATCGTTATCGTTATCATTATGTAACAGTAATGTATAATGCTATTTTATTGGATAGAAAATTTTCGTCGATTGGTGAAGGACGAGCTCTCAATTCATTTCGGATTACTTAATGTACTGTTCGGATTGTGAAAGGGAGATGTAATCTTTTGTTTGTTAAAAATTTTTGAGTTCTTTTTTAATAAAGTTTATGGTTTATACCCACAATACCGATCACATGTACATGTAATATAATTTTCGCATGTGGCAAGTTTAATAAAAAAGAATTTGACAAATAACCGAAGATTTTTCGTTTTTCTTCAACAGAATATGTCATTTCTTTCGACAAACATACCAAAATCAACAGGAATTATATAATTAACTCCTGGTCAAACCAATAATAACTTGATAGTTTCTTACTTCGGTATTTTTAGTCCAGGGAGTGCTATTAAAGGCCTGTGCCAATACAAAAACCCCTTTTATAAAGAAAAAAGTGCACTATCTCTTTGGGAAAGAGATATAAAGAAAGAAAGCGTACTATTTTCAATAATACATGACAAATAAATATAAATACAAGATACTTGAATACATTCAAAGTTAATACTGTTTACGTATGTACAATAATATTTGGAATTTTCACTCATAATTAACAAAATAAATTTAATACAGAATCGAAGGTTTTTTCTTTATACCTATATGTTTTGTGTAGCAAAATTTCGCTAAGATAAAGGCCTACTGTGTACTCGCGTTCGTTAAAAGAATACCAAGACTGAACTTTTTAATGATTTATCAAATAATACTATAAATATATGGAATTTTATTTCACTACAAGAAATCACATAACTTGTTTTCGCCGATCATCCAATGTTTTTTTGCAACACTGTCATTCTCAGCAGCAACGTTTTGTTATATCATTTACCATAAATTTATATCCTTTATCATCATAACCGACGGCGACATTGATAGTAGGGGTCCCGGCGCAATTCGTCAAATAAGCATAACATGTGGAATTCGCGTTATCTATCTCTCGTATAAACCAAAACACGTGGATAATTGATGTGCAATATCGATATCAATATATGTGACAGATTAAAATGAAATCTGGTGAAATTTTTTGAATAATAATTATAAAGAAGGGTTAAATAATTTGGATCTTTTTTTGGTGACAATTATAAAAAGGATTAAGTATGGACTCAGAGTATAGAGTACAGTATTAAATTTTATTATTGATTATTTACAGTAACTGTCATAAGTATCTGACTGCTTCTAATTTCGCCCACAGGTAAGCAAATTTAAATTTTATTTTTTCATTTAAAAATATATAACTATGATATTTAATATATTGTATAATCACCATTTGAATTTATAAATGCAATTATTAAGACATTTTATATTGTTCACCAATTTTACAGCAAGTTCAAATGGGGGGATGGTTTTACTTTTTTGCAAGTTCTGCTTTTAATCTATGAACTATTTTAATTTTTTTTTGCTAGATTAACTTTCATTAATTGCTACATATTTTCTATAAAATTTTAGTCCAGGAATATTAATAGTTAGGAAAGTATCATAATTTATTTTTTCATTTTTCAGTTTATCACAATTTTTGAGCAGTGCTTGGAATTATTATCTTCCTATAAAAACCTATATAAAATATTCCTGTCAAAAACTCAGAAACAGAAGTCAAAAGATTTTGTTTATAAATTTTATACTTAAAATTTATATCAAAATTCTGTTAAAAGCACATTAATTTATCAAATTCTAAAATAAAAAAACCACTTCCAAACATGAATCCTTAACAAATACTTGATAGATGAAATAATTTTTTATTTAATAAATTAACTATTTCATTTAGTAATTTTTTTGTAAGTAAAGTTTAAAAATTTTAGTAATATACTTATTACTAGCTTTATTAAAATTCTAATTTATAGTTTTTATACTAAATTTAATATTTTATTTTTTCATATTTTGTCTTTATTATCTTATTTATTTGTTTAACTTGCTTTACTATTATAATATATAGCTTTTTATATTATTTAGATTTTAGTTTTCATAATATTTTTTTATTTAATAAATAGTTATAAATTATTATAATGAATAAATTTCACTTTGATTCAGCAAAATATTTATACAAAAAGACAATTTATATTAAATTTAAAAGAAAATTTAATTATTTATATAATTATAAATTAGTGAAATATTAAATTAATTATTAAATATTATATTAAAATTAATCTATATATTATATTTTTATTTATAAAATTTGAATAATAATAGATAATTAAATATTTATAATAATTATTTTATATATATTACTAAATTTTATTTTAATTTATAATATAATAACAATAAAAAATAATATAACAACATCAAAATTTATTAATTAAATATAATAAAATATACATTTATCCCTTTATATAAAAGTTTTCAAATTTTTTAATAAATATTTTTGTATTTTTATATTAAAATAAAAATAATCTTATATATTTAAATATATATTTTTATAAAATTTTAAGATTTAATCTGATTAAGTTATTCTAATTATATTTTTTTATATTATTATAATAGTAATATAAAATTATTAATTTCAAAAAAACACAAAATATCTATATAATAGCAAAAATCTCTCAAATTATTTTACTTTCATTTTTTATTTTACTTTTTATTTATTATTTCACTTTATACTTATTAATTTACTTTTTATTTTATTTTTATTTATTATTTTACTTTTTGATTTATTATTTTATCTTATTTTTATTTTATTTTATTTTTAAATGATTATTTTATCAATTAGATAGATATTATACTTGAAATTATATTTTTAAAAAATATTTAAATAGAAATATTATCTGAGTCTTAACTTGATATATTACAAATAAAAACAATAAAAATTTTTTTTTAATAAAAATCTTCTTCAAATAATATTTACTATTTCTACTTTGATTATATATATTAAAGCTTGTATATTGTTATAGTGATTCTAAATAGTGAGTTTCACTGAGAATCGCTATAAGCATATGATGTTGAGAGAGAGATGATTAAACTTAAGTAAGGTGAATGAATTATAAATATTAGCAAAGATTTCTAAGATCTGTGTCAATATCTATGGATATTGTGTGTTCAAAGGTCTAAATTACAAAAGTAATTTGAAAAAGAAGTAAAAATATAAAGAAAAGAATAAAATAAATCAAAAGATTTATAATAATTAATAAGTGAAGTCATTATTAATCAAAAGATTTATAATAATTAATAAGTGAAGTCATTATTAATCAAAGAGAAACTAAACTAAAGTGTAAAATACTAATACTAAAAAGTATAAATCAAAAATAACAATTTAAATAAAACTAATATCGTAAAGATATAAAAATC